TGCACATCTCAGTCTGCAGAAATGAGACTTTGCTGGCGGTTCAGGGCTGGGAAGCTTGCAAGAACACTTGTTTGCCATATCCAAATTGCAGATGATTGAGCTTGCAGACGTAGTTAGCAGGAGATAGCCACGCTGCTGAAAAATGAATAAAAAGTAGCAAAGCTAACAAAACTTACATATTTAGGTGTATGCCCAGATCAGCAGCTTTCTATCATGACTTTTCGATTCTCATGAGAAGCTGTGAACAAAGGGGTCTGTGGCAGATGACAGAATGGTGAGATTTGGAAGAGATCTCTGAGTCCAAACCCTGCTAAAGGCAGTTCCCTACAGCAAGTTGCACAGGAAAGTGTCCAGATGAGTCTTGAATATCTCCAGAGAAGGAGACTCCACAGGCTCTCTGGGCAGCCTGTTCCAGTGTTCTGTCACCATCAGAGGAAGAAAAGCCAGCTCCTGCTAGGGGATTGGATTCACCACATTGAAGCCCTCATTGCCAGAGACTGAATTAAGAATGCATGTGCTCACAACATGGGACGAGCACTAATACAGCAGCACAGCTGTAGCAGCACCTGAACCTTGTCCATTTCATTGACCAATGCCCCAAACAGTGCCTGTCTCACCCCTCGCATTCCGCTGCCTCGCTCGATGCAACCCAGTCCCAGTAGGCGAATCTGCTTCCTTTGGCTATTTGTAATGCGCTGAAGGCGTGAGTGTAACTTTACTCAGGGCAAACGGGGACACCCAGGACAAGGGCTCAGTGTGAGAGCAGTCTGTCAAGTTCACCGACCCACACTCGGCCCTGCAAACCTGCAGTGAGACCCAAGGTGCAGAGAGGTGTGAGCTTCAATGGGACCGCCGGAAGGAGTGTGCAGGGGGGTGAGCACAGCACTCCAAGCTCTGGCCTGGAAGCCTCAATGATACAGAATCACAGAATGGTTTAGCTGGAAGGGACCTCACAGCCCAAGCCATCCCACCCTCTGCTGTGGGCAGGGCTGCCCCCACCAGCTCAGGCTGCCCAGGGCCCCATCCAACCTGACTTTGAGCACCTCCGGGATGGGGCACCACAGTTTCTCTAGGCAGCTGTGCCAGCGCCTCACCAAGCTCTCAGTGAAAGAATTTCCCAGTAACATCTAAAAATATTATATGATTCCTGCAGGAAGGAATCTACCAACAGAGACAACCTTCCAAAATTTGAATGGATAAACTATGACACCCGTATCCAGAAACTGGCACTTTCACAAGAAACCGCAGAGCAGCAACACAACGAAGAGACCCCAGAACTTGACGCTGCTTTGGTTTATCCTGCATAGGAGCGACAACGCTCTGACACCTCGGAACAGCCACCTTATCCCTCCGCATTCTGCCTCGCGGCATATGCCTCCTCGGGAGAAGCCGTGGCTACCCCGCCCCCCGGCACGATGAGGATGTCACGTCGGAACCCTCCGCACCCCAAAAGCCAAGCTCCGATTGAAGCCCCCCCAGCCGCCCGGCCCCGCGGGCGGGGAGCACCGCGCTTACCTGGAGCGCAGCGCGGAGCAGACGCGGCACGGCGAGCCGGCAGCAGCGGAGGGTCGGGGAGGAGTCAGGCGGCGGGGGAGCGGCTGAAAGGGGCCGGGCGACGAATCCACCTGCGGGCACCTGCCCACCCCATTCTCCGGCCGGGCAGCGGGCTTCCAGCCTTCCTTCCGTCCCCTCTTTCTCCTCCCTCGCCCTTATGCAAAATAAACGCCCCAGGGAAGCGAGCAACGAGAGCTATCGGCCCTTCCCTGAAGTGGGTAGGTCGGGAGGTGATAACGAGTGCTCCCATCGTGCTCGGGCTGCAGAAATAATTTCCTTTTTCCTTTTTAATAGCAACATGATAAAAGGGTGCTTTTAAAGACGCCTGCGGTCTCAGTAGTCACATTACTCTGATGGCTCGGGGTGACTCTCCTTTAAAGCAGATCTACAAACGAATTGGGTTATTTCTGCCAAAACAGCCCCAGCGCAAAATAAAAAACCACTAGTGTCCAAAAACTTCAGAGTGTTACTGAGAAAGTCCCCAGGAAAATGGAGAATTTATAGCAATGCATCCAGATTACCTACAGCTGTGCCAGCATCTCTGCAGGGAGATTGCAGAGAAGGGAGCAGACCAAAGTTGGGCATGAGAAATGTTTGGGTTGTGTGTGTGTTCAGATGTGTATCGAGGAATGACATCAGATGCACCAAGAAGCCATGATCATACTTCGGTGTTTTTCCAGCTATATATATTTATTTAAAGACAGACATACCTTGATCTTTCAGATACCAGATCTTTCAGTACAAAACAGTGTTTGCTGAAATATCACAGTAGGCATGGATGATCTTACAGGTCTTTTTCAGCCTCAATGATTCCATGATCTTTAAGTTTTACTTAGGCTTTCCAGCTGTGCCTTTCTGTTGGGCAATTTTTGATTATGTTCTCCCAGAAAGAGTCAGTGAGGCTGAGATTTTCCAGTGTGGATTCAGTTGCAGTAACTAGTCCTCTAATTTCTCCTGAAGCAAAACACAAGGATGTTGCATGTCACATCTGCAGTGGTCCTCTGAAGTTTACACCTGTGTGGCACATTCTTGTCTTTAACCTACAGTAACTCTGCCAATGACCCTCAGAGTTTAGAAGAACTTTAGTTTTGTGGTAGCACAAGGGGGAATAGCTTTAAACTAAAAGGAGGAGATTTAGATTAGGTGTTACTGGGAAATTCCTTCCCCAGAGGGCAATGAGGCTCTGGCACAGCTGCCCAGAGAAGCTGTGGTGCCCCATCCCTGGATGCTCTCAAAGCCAGGTTGAATGGGGCCCTGGGCAGCCTGAGTGGGGCTGGTGGGGGGCAGCCCTGCCCACAGCAGAGGATGGGATGGGTTGAGCTGTGAGGTCCGTTCCAACCAAACCATTCTGTGATTCAGCGATCACCCTTTGGTTTTGTCCAAATACCCTGCACAGTGGCTGCAGGTAAAGAGAAAGGGAGATGTAAAATATAAATGCTGGTTCCTCTATGAGTTGATGATGTCCACTTCTAAGGGATTATACCAACTAAGCCGAAGGACATAGTAGCAGGGAATTGCCAAGTGTGCTCTCTGTTGGGAAGAAGCCTTAGAAAGGGAGCCATGTGGCTTAGTGAACTGCACACAATACCAGGAGGGCTGCCATAGCGGGGATACAGTGGGGCCCCATTACAATGAGTGGCACTCTGCTTAGTTACAGACTGGAAGGCCTGGGCCCCCGCCAGCAGCCCGCTGATTAATGCTGTTAGCACCTTTTCTTCTCAGAGGGAAGACAGACGGAAGGCAGAGCTGGCCAGGGACAAATGCACTCCCTCTTTACCCCAGTTCTCTCTTGCTTCAGTCTGGCCAGAAGGTTGGTTTCTGTCTCACTGAAGGGATGATGTTTCTGTTCTCAAACATACTAAAAGCTTTTTTTTTTTTTTTTTTTTGGCTTTTTTTTTTTTTTTTTTAGTTGTTGAAATTGGGTTAATATTCTCCAAGCTTAACTCAGTTTGCTAACAGAGGTCAAAGGGACACTCACACAGAGCAGCAGAGGTGGGAAGGGGACATTGCCTCCCTCCTCCTGGCACCTGAAGTTGCAGGGTCTGCTCAGCTTGTCCTTTCCAGCTGAGGACCAGCTCATGGCCCCTTCTGCAGCGCATTTGTGTATATGTCTACATTAATGTCTTTTAATTATGCAAGCTGACTTTTGCAGAGCTGGATGCCAAGCGTTCATTTCATTAATGTATCACAAGCCAGGGCTGGGCTGGGCCTTCAGTGCTGGTGCATGCCTGCAGAGGACCTTTTCTTGCCCAGAGCTGGAGATGTCCCAGCATTACCCAGCATGACACTGCTTGCCTCCACTCTTACCCAAACATCTTTTTCACACTTAATAGTTTCAGTGTTCTGTGAACCACTTCCTCTTCTGCACTTATGCATGTGTGGGGAAGGGGATGATGCTTGCTTTAGTTTTTATAGGGAAAGAAGTTGATGCTTCTGTTCATTTGTGGAGGATCAATGTGTGAATGAACTGATCCACTAAAGTGTCTGGCAGCACTGCCCACTGCATATCTGTCCATATGAAAACGTCACCATTCCTTGGCTCCTCCCTCTACTTTACTGTTGAAGGCCGTTGACCATAACTTTTATTGTTCCCACAGTGATTCATCCTCATAGTTCATTTCCTACTCTGTTAATACTCAGCATATAATAGTCAGCTTTTGCATATGTTTCTAATGTCTAAGAAAAATCTTAGGGCATAGGAGATGAAGTTTTATCTAAAGAAAAGCTCTGGAGTCCTTACTTACAGCATGTCATGGTGAGCTTGCCCTTACCACTTTGGGACCACCACAGAGGACTTCTACCCAACAGAACGAGAATTAAAGTTATCTCTTGATGAATTCAATGCTAAGCCCTAAGCTGGACAAAGCCATTTAGATAGCAAACTGACTGCCAGCAGATGTTTTAAAACCCGATTGATAATCCTTCCATACTACCTTTATTACAGTGTTTACTGCCTAGTAAATCCCAGTCATTCCCAAGGAACCCCATTAACTAAGACACAGACTTAAAGCTTTTGAGGGATCTGGAGCACAGGCTTTGTGGGCTGAGGGAACTGGGGTTGTTCAGCCTGGAGAAGAGGAGGCTCAGGAGAGACCTTATCACTCTCTACAACCACCTGAAAGGTGATTGTAGTGAAGTAGGGGTCGGCCTCTTCTCCCAGCTAACAGCGACAGGACAAGAGGGAATGGCCTCATGTTGTAACAGGGGAGGTTCAAGCTGCAAATTAGGAAAAATTTTCTTCTCATAAGGAGTGGTGAGGCCGTGGCACAAACTGCCCAGGGAGGTGGTGGAGTCACCATTCCTGGAGGTGCTCAAGAGCCATGTGCACGCGGCACTGAGATTAGTGGGCATTCTGGTGATGGGCTGCTGGTTGGATTAGGTGACTTTAGAGGTCTTTTACAACATTAATGATTCTGTAATTCTGTGATTCGTCCTCCCGTCCCAGCTTTAAGCACTGGGGATCTCATTATGCCCTACTTGTATTTCTTTTTCAACATCAGGAGAAAGAGCTCTGAAAAAAAGAAAGAGCACTTCCCAAGAGGTGCTACAGTTACACATTCATCCACAGAACTACATCAGTCACCTCTTCTAACTTGGAAACTTAGTCATTTAATAAGTAAGCTTAAAATAAACGTATTTTGACTTTGGAAGTACATTTGCATCTGCTGCTATTAACAAGAATACACACACACACACATTTTCTCTGCTTTAAGTCTATTTGAAAATCAAGCTAAATGAGGAGACATCTCCAAAAAGCACATGAAACAAGAGGTATTCCTTCATTAGCATATTAACTGAAGACACGGAAAACCTACAGGAACTGAAACCAATTACTGTTATCTGGGAGTAGGAGAGGGCAGCATGCACTGCAGATTACAAAGGTGTGGCCCTAGGAACATTCTCACTTCTTTCCCAGCCTGTCACAGAATTTTTCTGGAGTTTCAAGCCCCACACAGATGGAGAAACAGAAAATCACCTCTTCTTCATTCTTTCTTTTTAGTTTTTTTTTTTTTTTTTTTCCTCCCAGCTTCGCTTTCTCCCAAGACAAAGAAAGTCTCAGAGTTGATAAATTCTTTGCTTACTCCCAGAGGGAAGAAACCGTCAGGGATAATAAGTGACCTTGACTTGCCTTAAGGTGCATGGCATTTCAATGGGTTCCTTGTCTATCTACATAAAGCAAAAGAGAATAAAAAATCAAATACTGCTCTTTGTTGGATTTTTCTGGGTGTAGAATGTAAAAGCAGCTGCATTTTCCTCCATTAAAATAGAATCTGACCTACAAATTTGATTTGCTATCTGCATTAAAATAGCAGTAGTCTCATGGCATAGAAATTGAACAACAACTGTAATGTATTGTATGTTTTTTTTCCAATTCTTGAGACCTTTTTTTCATTGATCTGATTGTTAGCTTTGTGCTGTACCTGTACAAGCAGCCGTAAATCCAAACTACTCAGCCAGTTAAACCAGGTTAATCTCTTGTGCCATCAAACACAACTTTGCCTGAAGAATACATTAGTGAACATGAGTTTCAGTGCAGACCTATCTCACTGTTTTTATAAGAAATTACACAAATGCATCTTGAATTGCATTTTAAAGTATTTCGTTCAGTGGGAATTTGGAAAAGGAAAGTGACTCAAATCTTTTGCAATTAGATTTAAGTTAGTGGCAGAACCATGTTTTTTTAATAGGAATTAGAATCAACTCTGCTAGTTTTGCTGATATATACAGAAAGGGGGGACAAAAGAAACCACAACATGGTTTTTTTTGGTTTTTTGGTTTGGTTTTTTTTTGTCCAGTTAGAAACCAAAAGTGATGTTTTGAACCCAAGTGTAACCTCAGACAAAATTAATATTGATGTAACAGATTTTCTGACCCGAACATTTAATTACATTTTATTTTGAAAACACTGAGTCTTCCTCACAATATCATAAATCAACAGATCATTTCTGTTTTAAAGATCCAGCAAGACTACTGTTCCACAATTTTCATTTCTTTGATAACAATTCTATGCAGGAAAGGAAAAGAAGAAAAAAGTAGATCAGCTGAATTTTCTGAATACCTGCATGAGATAACCAGAGATAAATCGTATCCAAAACGGATTACCTTTTGTCTGTCTGAATAAGAAGGAGTTAGGATTTTCTTCCCTTTCAATCCTAACGCAGCTCCAGATTTGCTGCAGAACTTTGGCTGACTCGTTTCTACCTGCTTCCATTTCCTGCTCTGGAAAAGGGGATTAAAAGTAAGTATTATCAGAAGCACTACTGCTATTTTCACGTCGAACCAAATATTTGCAAAAGTGCTCAGAGATTTGTTGGTTAGGCAGTTACAAAAGGGTAAAAATGAAACCTCCTTTGCTTGCCTGCAGCTTGGCAAGCCTTTATGGTCTGTTCCCGCATCAGGTATAAGTACTTGATTTTTATCAACAATTGAACATTGTTTTAATTCCACAATAAACTGGGTAGACGAAGTCAGAAAACTGTAAATCACGGATTGGCATGCTGTAAGGAAGTGAAAATATTCTTCAGCAAGACAACAGTTATCTCAGGAAAAGCGTATTTAATTGCAATAATGAGAAAGGGATTTTACATACGCAAATAGAAGATTGAAGTTTGTGTTGGTGTAAATCTGAACAAAAAATCGTGGTGAGAGAGGTTTGCCATTCCTTGACATTTCGTCAGTTGTGCTTTCTGCAGAAGCAGATGGATAATTTGTCCTTGAGTTTTCACAGGGTAACTTTATGGTTATGAAGAAAGAATTCCTACAGCATTTTACAGTTCTGTTTTGTTGTCGTCGTTGTTGTCTTTCTTAATTAAAGTAGCTCAGAGAAGTGCTCTTTGCAATAAAGGTAGATTTTGGAATGGAGGAAATGTGTTTTCTGAAATATTCTGAGTCAGTTCCTAGAATTCCACATCTCAGTATAAAAACTATTGACCTGCAGTAGAACACATTCAACAGTCTTACCATTCGCTATATTTTCCTCTTTAATGTCTAAAATATCTTCACATTTCTTCACCTTACTTTGTCATGCTTAGTTTAGGTTTGACTCTCTTCACTGGTTTATTCTGATCCAGTTGTTGATTAACTCCTTAAGAAAAAACTATTTGCTTGGCTGCTGTCTATGTAGAAAAAAATTGTGTTTAAAGGCACCAATAAAACAAAGCTGAAATATTTCTTATCTTTAGTTAAGAAAGTGGCATGAGGAAGCAGATCTTTCTGGTGAATAATGAGAACAGTGGCATTGCTACTTTCCTCTGAGAGGTGAAAGATTAATGCTTTAATTCTACCTTTACTTAATTGCCCATGCTTTGGCATTAAGCAAGCAAGTTTTTGAATGGGAAATTCCTATGCTAATTTAACTACTTGCTTACCAAACTTCATCTTACTTGTTTTCTAACACATTTTGAATCAAATCTCAATCACATAGATATGTATGAAAATTTTAATACAAAGTTAGAAGAAGCTAGCTGAATATATGTTTTCTCTGCCATTGGTTGGACATACATAGGTCTTCAAACTGCTCTACAACCCTACAATCTCCTGGTGAATAATTTTCAGGAGGTAATTTGAACTCATCTTTTGACAGGAGTATGGGCTGGATAATACAGGTTTTTGCTGGTGATGGACATCTTTTCCCAAAAATTCTGTGGTAACAGCAACAGTACTCATAAAACAAAAAACAAATACCAGTTTGGACTGGCATCTTCGCTGCTGCTTTTCTTAAAACAGTTCAGGGTACAGGTACCACAAAACACACTTAGACATTCCTGTGTGGAGCCAAGAGTTAGACTCAAGAAGGGTCCTTGCAGGTCCATTCCAACTTGGGGTACTTTGAGATCCTACAATTCCATGCACATTCTTTATATAAAATAATATTGGGTGAGAAAGCAGTGCTTCCATAAATATACAAAAATAACAAAGCCTAAGCTATAGGTGGTGACTTTGTACCACTGATCCTCATTACAACATTAACCAAGCAGGGACTGCAAAGTTTCTTCATAAAATCTTGATCATCTTGTCTGTCTGTCTGTACACGCTTTAAGGAGAAAAATATATGGAGATAGCATAGATGAAATTCACATTAAGAAATTATTTTTGTCAAAATTAAATTTATTAACATGTTGGGTATTTTCCATCTCTAGCATCTGTTGAGCAGTGCTTTAAATATACGACATCTAAACAATTTATGTCTAAACAAATCACAGTAAGTAGCCCATATTATTTTGGAAAATTATACAAGCTGCTGGAATTTGCACGTATTGTAGATACTTGATAATCTAACTTTTCTGTCCTCCTTTTTTTTCTTTAGTATGTATTTGAATAATTGACTAATGAAAAACATACATTTTTTTAGTTGCTTGGAGGTTTTCTTGTATGCAGCTGTTTGAAAGTTCTGTTTCTCAGCAGCACATATTTTCCTGTAATATTTTTGTAAGAAAAAAAAATTAAAAATAAATAGTTGTTTTGCTTTTCAGTGACTCCATCCCTATCTTTACTAAACAAGATTTCAGACCTCGTATTCTTATTATCCAGGAGAAGCTAGAGAGGCAAAAGGCATTAAAAATTATTTTTCTCAGTCAGTTTCCTATGAAAAGTCCCATTTGCGACAACCTTCCATGTTCCCAAACTTTGTTCTACCATTTTGCTTTTGTCTGCCTGTTCTGTTAGACTAAATTTCTCTTTCTTCTAATCTTGTTCAGTTATTCAAACAACCACTTTGCACCTTTCTAGGCTGGCAGACAGATTCCACTTCTCACACTATTCTGTTCAACTAGTCTTGTATGCAAAGCATCTCATCTCTAACAGTGTTAACCTCTTGCTGCTGCCTTCCCAAAGCTCGTGCTGCTACTAATTGCACAGCTAGAAAACCATTCAGAGAGATGGGAACTGCAGTACTCAGGAATGCATAAAATATTGCAAGAATGTTTACCTGAGGAGTAAAATATTTTCTGTGAGACAAGACATCTCCTGTATGTGGACTGGATTAATGCTGTCATTTTTGCTGTCACATCACTAATTCCACAGATGGCAAACATCTGTACCAACCAGGTTGAAATTTTTGTGGGGGAACTGTATTACCACTTTCTGTTTAATTTTTTTGTGAAGGCACACTGCAAAAATCTATTGAAGAGGATGTTTTGTAATCTTCATTTATTTTTCTCTTCTATTAACATATCTATTTTTAATTTCTCTGTACCTATATACATCTTGCAACTGTTAGCATTGCCAGCATCACCTTATTCCTCATTTTCATTGCATTTTCAATACAAAGCTAATCCAGGCCCTGTTTTCAGTGAACTTTGTTCTACTGACTACCCTGGCAGCACAACAAAAAGGATTTTCTCACCTTTGAACATAGCATGAATATTGTAGGTGCCTATTGCTTGAAAACATGGAATTAAACCCTACTTAATCTGACTGTGCAGAGGCAAGAGAGACTTATGCCTTCAGGTTGAGGCTCGTGGATATTCAAGATCTCTGTGCCTTTGTGCATTGCCACTTGCTGCACATTTCAAGCTTGGTCCTGATGAGACTGGTTTATCAGGAGAGCACGAGCACAGGAGCTGGGAGAGTAAGTTGGGAAACAGGTGAAGGTTCAGACCTGGGAGATAAATACAGAGGGTTGTGGGTTGGACAGCACAACAATCTCTAAGATCAGCAGAAACAATCATGGTTGAACGCCTGCCCACAGCACAAGCCATTTATGATGGTAATATTTAGGTGAGCTAGACAACATATTGCTTTTTAAATATTTTCAATGCTTTAAATCATAGAATCATAGAATCACAGAACCACCGAGGCTGGAAAAAACTTGCAAGGTCATCTAGTCCCTCTCCACCTACTGCCAATATTTGTCCACTAAACCATGTCCCTAAGTACAACATCTAAACATTTCTTGAGCATCTCCATGGATGACAACTCCAGCACTTCTCTGGGCAGCCTGTTTTAACTCCTGACCACTATTCTGGAGAATGAATTTTTCCAAATATCCCTGTGAGTGTTGGGAACTGCCAGATTGATTTAGGGCAAAGAATCCACAAAACAGTCTGACTTTAGCAGCCCATGATGCTTACCAGAAGGACTGGTATGGAGCTAGTAATTCAGGACAGTACTTCAGCAAGACACCACTTGTTAGATATTTCTCTGAGGAGACATAGAGTATTTGTCTTTGATATGCCAAAAGTGACAAATTAGCTCATTAGTCATTCAATTCTACACAAAATCACGGACTGTCAAACACTGAGTTACTTATCAAAAGACTTCAAAGAGGCCACTGCACCTTGTGCACCCAGAATAATTTGACTGTGTGAGCTTTCAGTGCAACCCAACTGCACTAATCCAAAAACTGTAGCACTGTATGATGAGGCTACAAAATCAATAAGAGCCCAGTGGGACCAGGAAACAATATCAAGATACACTGCCAGGGTTATGCCATGCTGATGCCCTATCTTCAATGGGAGACAACACAGGTCCAGCAGTGCCCAGGCTACGATGCAGACTTCAGGGTGCGCATTGTTTCCTCTCTCTTTTTGGCTGCCAGCCTTGACCCAAGCCCCTGCACAGAGAATGAATGGAGAAAGCCAGCTGATACCGGTGCTGGAGAGGGGCACAGTCTAATTTAACCTTATGATGAACTCAATGCATTGGAAAGATGGATCCCACTGTGCTGCTGGACCTCATGATCATTAGCCACAGCATTTTCAAGCAGTCAAGCAAAAGAATATTTGAGTTGGATTACCTCAGATGAGCGGAGTTGCTAAACATAGAATAAGGAAGAGGGTAGAGGGTGAGCCAGAGGCAAGTGCCTCACTCCTGAGGGAGGGACAATCCTATTTAAAAAGTGTTGAGTACAATAGGGCTCTTTGCTCAAACTCTTACCTAGGTGGGACACACAAGCTACCTGGCTAGCTGTGAGTGGAGCAAGAATAGCAGTCTTTGTGGTGAGATTTCATATTTTTGCATGTCCACAAGAACAATGAAGTTTTGTTAGATTACTCTCTCCAAAGTGCCCAAGTCAGGAGCTACATCTTACTGTGGACATCAACTGAAGGAACTGTAAGGAACACTATTCCACTGAGTAAGAGATCTAAAGGTCCACCCCAACCTCTGCCATGGGCAGGGCTGCCCCCCACCAGCTTAGGCTGCCCAGGGACCCATCCAACCTGGCCTTGAGAGCATCCAGGGATGGGGCACCACAGCTTCTCTGGGCAGCTGTGCCAGTACCTCAATGTCGACTCAGTGAAAAATTTCTCCCAACATCACCTCTCCTTCAATTTAAAACCATTCTCCCTTATCCTATCACTATCAGACCATGTAAAAAGTTGATTTCCTTCTTGTTTATAAGCTCCCATTAAGTATCAAAAGGCTGCAATTAGGTCACCCCAGAGCCTTCTCTTCTCCAACATGAATAAGCACAGCTCTCTCAGCCTGCTTTCACAGGAGGGGTGCTCCAGCCCACTGAACATCTTTGTGGCCTCCTCTAGACCCACTCCAACAATTCCACTCCTTCTCATGCTGCGGCCCCAAGGCCACAGTAGTTCAGGTGGGGCCTCATGTAGGCAGAGCAGAGGGGACAATCTCCTCCCTTACCCTGCTCACCACCTCTCTTAATGTAGCCCAGGATACAGTTGGGCTGCGAGCACGCACTGTTGATGCATGTTAAGTTTTTCATCTACC